GGGAGGGAGGGTGTGCGTCTGCGAGTCCAGGTGAGAGGCTTGCCAAAGTGGTGTGCATAGAAACGGGCCATGATTGAATGACCGCTGGTATGTTTTTTTTCTGTGTGTGTTCCGCTTTTGTCTGATGTAGTTTAATGGAGGCCAGAGAAGACGAGATGAGAGGTGAGTAAACACTGCGTCTAAGCAGGGAAGGGAGAGTGAGATAGGAGTAGGGAGAGGCAGTTGAGAAATGGGGAGGAGGTGTCTCTCTCTCCCGCTTTCATATTTCTTTGCAATGGCGACAATTGCATAGTGTCCATCTCTGAGAACGGTAAGCTGCAAAACAACAGGAATGTATGTGCACCGGTACATCAGAGACAGATCTCTGGACGGTGCTTTTTTAAAAATCAGATATCGATCTGATCATAACAGATACTGCACTTGATCTGAGCCAAAACGGCGTGTGTTTGTGTCGATGTTTAGCTTTGGAGAAGCAGACAGTGAATACGGATCTATGGGAGACGACGGGGATGCAAATGAGGCTCGTCGGGACAACGACGAGAAGGGTGCTTGTATTCGTGATTATGATGAGGATGGCAATGGTGATGATGATGACGATAATGAGGATGTGGAATGTCACCTATCATCATCAGCCCATGCCGTAGACGAACGTCGACACAAGCCGGTCAAGGTGAAGGATGCTCGTGCTTCGTGGAAGATCGGAAGCACCAGTATGACGCCCTTGCTGAATCAACAGCGGCAGCGACAGCAGCAGGATGCTGCTGCTGCTGCTGCTGGCGGTGGAAGGCGGGGATGGCCGGTGGCAAAGGATGAAGGTAGTGTATTGCTGTTGTTGTTTTCGTCGTCAGCGTTATCTAAGAAGACCAGCGTGTTCCTTGCGCCGAAGAGCTTGATAGCCTACGTTCTGGCGACTACATTATTTCTTGGCGTAATCTGTGGAATAGTCTTGCCCTACCTTGGCTTGGGACGAACACATTCGGTGTTATTGTCAGGCGCTCGCTCGAGCAATAGCAGCAGCAGTAGCAGTAGTAGTAACCGGTGGTTTTCTTCTTATTTCTCTTTCAGGGGGACAGGCCAGGTGGTAGGGGCGGAGGAAGAGGCGGTGGCAGTGCCAGTGGCGAGAGAAGGAACAACGACAGGAGCAGGGAGCGATCATTACCAAATGGGACCGATCAGCGCTGTTAGCTTTGAGCGTAGGAAAACATGCAATCCATACAGTGTGTATGGGCGGTTGGTTGGAGGTACTTGGAGGCCGTTCCGCAGTGACTGTCCGTCTTCAGAAGTGTTGCCGATTCTGCGGCGGCAATACTGGGGAAACCGCAGCGTCCAGCTGCAGGGACAAAGTGGTGTTGCTGCCACAGCCCCAGGGATTACGACCCCTGAGCTTTTGCCTTGGTTGGTTGGCCGAACCATTGTTCTGGTCGGCGACTCGCAGGATCGCAACGCGGTCCACGACGTCTGTTTGTTCATTGGCGCAACGGAGTCGATGCACAGTTGGAACGGATCGGCCGGAAGCTGTGTTGCGCCGATGGGGTGTCCTCGTGTTTGTCGCGTGGCGGCTTACAACCTGACCATTATGAGTTTCTTCGTCTACGGATTGACGCAGAATGAGTCAATACCCTGGACAGAAACCCATAAAGAGAGCTGGGAACCTGTGCTGATCGAAAACCGCCTGCGTCAGCTCCTCGCTCCGTTCCTCTGCGCCCTGCGTTTATGGCCTGACCTGATTGTCCTTAACAGTGGCCTGTGGGACTTGGCAAACTGGGGACGGGAGGCCGCATTCTCTGGAGTGCGATTGGCTGGAACTGGCACTCTGTTGAATCCCATTTTGCCCAGTGAAGTCCGCGACCTCGTAGTTCCGGATAGTGAACTGCTCTGGTGGTTGTCGGCCGCTAAGCATCGCTTTGTTGGGACCGTTAGAGAGATTTTCCCAGATGTGCCGCTGGCATGGAGGACAACCCCATTTGTTGACGTCCGGTTAGAGACTGTAGGCTGGCAAGGAGCCATGGGGCTAGACCATGTCTCGCTCCCTGGCCTGTCAGCAGATGTTGCCCATGGGCCGTATCAGGTTGTGTACGTGGATGCTCTCAACCAGGCAGCATTGCAGCTCACTGAGGACTCGGCGACAATAGCAGATGTCGCCGCTGACAATTTCAGCGTCTCTGAACCAGTTACGCTCCCCTCTGGTCAGGTGGCAGCAGCCGTGCCTCGCATGTTGGCATCGGAACCGCAGAGGAAGGTCAAGACTCATGCACCCTTGACATTGCTGGACTGGAACAAGCTGATAAGAGGGCGGTGGGAGCTGGTTAAAGAGGGCCTGCACTACCAGTCACTCGGGTATACACTATACCTGGAGATGGTTCTTCACCACGTCAGGTGGCTGTATGACAACTCATTGGTCCAGCATCTGGCAAAAGATCCGCCGCAGGATGTCTGTCAGATCTACCGCCTAGTCCAATTCGCTGATGGAAGTCGAGAGAACAATCCCGCTGCATACGCTACCAGAAGAGCTTCAACGTAGATGCAGCAGTGGCTATCTATCTGGCATTTGCCGGCAGGAGGAGGAGGGACTGCGTGGGCTTTGGGCAGAACGTAGGTAGGAGCAGCAATAACAGCGTCCAGGCTGCAGCAGAACAGAATGCTGGGGTCGGAACGGGTACGCTGCACTGGAAACAAGCAAGGCCAACACCCTATCGAAAGAGACGGTAGAAAAATACAAGAAATCAATAAATCAACGGCAGCAGTAACATAGTAGTGTGTGCCATTCTAGTGCCTTGGAGGAGGGCCCTGAGCCACAGGTAACTACCAGCAGAAAGGGTTTCCAGAGTGGGGGGGCGTATAGAAGAGAGAGGAGGGAGGGGGGGGATGATGGTGAATGGAATGCAGAAGGTGACAAGCCATCACTTTGAGGGAAGTCGGATGTGAGGGGGTCTCCAGAATCGACTCTGAAATGGGAGCGGATAAGAAGGATTCAGAACATACACACACGTGGACCTTTTCGACTCAGCTCTGGACACGAGTGCCGTCGCACGTAATTGCGGTCAGATACAGAGAGAAAAGCGCTAGTGTATGTCCTCACTCTGCTCCCCTGCTGCGTGCCGATGAGCAGATCGGGCTGTGCTGCCAGAGTGGTTACTTCTGGGCCCCTGAGGTGGGCACCGGGTGCCCACAGCCGCACCCGCCTGCCCCACCTGACCCACAAAGTGATTGGGTTGGGCTTGGGTCTACCTATGCCTCCTTGGGTGGGTGACGGGTGTGTGCAGCTAGTGGCCATTTCTGGGTCATGGGCGGGTAAATATTTGCTCTGGGTCACCTGTCAGGTGGGTGACAGGTGGGTGAAGCTTTGGCCTGGGTCACCCGACCCATAGACTCAGTACCACCCAAGAAAATTCTCCCCCCCTCCCTCTTGGGCCCTTGGCGCCTTTCAGTCCCCCCCCCCACCACCAAAAAATAAAAAGGAACAAGGCCTTGGGCCCATCTGTGCAGTGCACAGGCTCGAGGTTGAGAGTGACGAAAAAAGCGGGCCTGCGTACAGTCACGCAGGGTCGCCTGTTACATCGGGGCCAAGAAAAAAAAAACAAAGAGCGTACTCCAGCAGTGCAGCCCCTTGCCCATTTTTTCTCTAAAAAAAGGAGGGAGAGGTTCTAGCCATAGTAGGCGGCTAGATCCGTCATCTTTGAACTTCGCCCTTGGTTAGCAAACTTGGCAAATTCAGAAGCCCGCCCCCAACTTACCTGGCCATACCGCAGCGCGACGCCGTGATGGAGTGACGCTGGCATGCGATGCAAGGTAGAGAGGTGGCAACACCGGTGGAGTCGTCGTGGGCAGGGCTGCATCGGCACAAGTGGGTGCGGACGGCAAAAAAATAGGTGTTGGGTGCAGGCAGGTAATGATGTTCTCACGGGTGCGGGTGGGTCCGGGTGTTCGGGTGGCGGGCGGGTTGGGCGTGGGGCTGAAATTTCAAAAAATATTTTGGGTGGGCGGGGTCGTCTTGAGGTGGAAATTCAAATTCTTGGTTCAGGCGCAGAAACAAAATTGGGCGGGTTGGGTCACAGGTGAGAGAAAAAAAAAAAAGCCCACCTCCGTGAATCTGGCTGCAGACTGACGAATCATCGCTTTGAGAAAAGTCGGACGTGAGGGAGTTGAGACACCTCCGAAATGGGACCGGAAAAGAAGGATTCAGACAGAGCATACTCACACGAGGACCTTTTCGACTCCAGCTCTGGATGCGATTTTGGGTCAGATGCATCCAAGCGGGCATGTAATGACAGTCCGATACAGTGAGAAAAGTGTCAGTGTGAGTATATCCGCATTCTGCTCCCCTGCTGCGAGCTGATGAGCAGATCGGGCTGTCCTTCCGGAGTGGGTCCTTCTTTGTCTTCCGACTCCAGAATGACAAATCTTCACTTTGAGGATGTGAGGGAGTTGAACGATCTACGATATGGGAGCGGATAAGAAGAGAAGGCCTCACTCTGCTCCCACTCTGAGGGCGCTATTCCCAAAGTACTTGGACTATTTCTACAGAGCTCTCTGGACGTGATTGCAGTCAGATTCATCCCGGTCTGGCTGTAATTACACTCAGATGCATTTTGAAAACTAGTGTTAAACCCCTAGTACCTTTGTCGGGGTTTGGAGAATTGCGGGCCACCGACCTTTCAGGAGGCCGAAATGAAACCGCGACCACCGATTGGAATTTATCAATGGCAGCCGTCGTCGGGCCCGGCCGCCGAATTCTTCGGGAGCTGGCGTTTTCCCTCATTTCTGAAGCGGCAAAGGTACGAGTTGTTTAAGTGCGAGTATGCCCTGAGTAAAAGATGAACACCTGGGCTGTGATGCGCGAGTACTGTTGCTCGCGTTGGGCTGACAACCGGTCACCACAGTGATGAGGCTTGAATGATATCAAGAATTCATGACCGAACAAGTACGGAGAGACCATCCCGTAAACATCGTATCGATTCGATTCAAATTTTAAACCCTGCGTTGACATCCGCCGGTACAATCTGAACGCAACGCTTGCCTTGATGTACAAAGTTAATTACTTTCAATAAAGTT